CCACCTTGTCTCAATACAGGCTGGACAACCAATCACTTTCCCTGCAGCAATTCTACCTCCTATGTACATCTGTCCACAAACGTTTTTTATAGCACCAACTACAGTGCAGGAAATAAAGTCAGTTGTTAGTAATTTAAAGAACAAAAAATCTACTGGCTTTGATGGCATCAGTGTTAGTTTACTTAAACATATAATTGACGAAATATCTCTTGTTTTAGAATACATATTTAATATGAGTTTCAACAAAGGTATTTTTCCAGAGACACTCAAATTAAGTTTAGTTGTACCCATTTTGAAAAAAAATAATTCTTTTAATTTAGAAAATCTCAGACCCATTAGCTTACTTTCAGTTTTTTCTAAAATACTCGAGAAGCTCATGATGATTAGAATTGAAAATTTTTTAAATAAAACACATTTTTTCAGTAATAAGCAGTTTGGTTTTATTAAAGGCAGGTCAACAGAAAGTGCTTTATTGGCAGTAACCGATCACATCTTCCAAGGATTAAACTCAAAACTGAAAACAACAGGTCTATTTATTGATTTTAAAAAAGCTTTTGACATGGTAAATCACAACATTCTTTTAAATAAATTGCAAAACGTAGGAATAAGAGGTACAGCTTTTGAGTGGTTTAAGAGTTTCATCACAAATAGGAGGCAACAAGTAAAAATAAACAATGACTACAGTAATCCTCTCATTGTACAAACGGGTGTGCCCCAAGGGTCAACGACCTCAGGTATTTTATTTTTAGTGTTCATCAACGATTTATTAAATCTACCTTTTAACGGAAATATCTTTGCTTTTGCTGATGACATTGCTCTTTTTTACACACAAAACGATTTGATGTTGATGGAAAATTTAATAAACGATGATCTTTTACTTTTAAGAAATTGGTGTTTGATCAATAGAATGCAGGTAAATGTAAACAAAACCAAATTTGTTAATTTCCACTCAACCGGTTTTGAATTGCCATCTCCTTTAATTTTTCACTCCTCAAATTGCAGTCCACAACTATGTAATTGCCAGCCGTTAGAAAAAGTAAAATCTATAAAATATTTAGGAGTTCTACTCGATGAAAAAGTCACCTTCGAACCTCATATATTAAATCTACATGCTAAGATACGAACACAAATAAGAAAATTTTATTTTTTAAGAAATTTTTGTAACGAATCACTTTTGAGAACATTATACTTTGCACTAATCAACTCAAGATTGCAATATGCCTTGCCATGCTGGGGAGGAACTTATAAAACCTTGATAAATAGATTAAGAACAACACAAAACTTTTTTATGCGGATAATTTTGAAACAACCTAAAAGAACAAGTTCATTTCCACTCTACCAACAGTTAAAAATTTTGCCCATACAGCACCTTTTTGTTTTCAAAGTTCTTAGACTGTTTTTTGTTCGAAGTGGAAACAGAGTTAACGTCATACCAAATATTACACACACATACATAACAAGAAGCATTACCAATAATACTCTGAAACTACCCAAAGTAAATAAAGCTATTTTTCGTCACTCTTTTCAATATCTAGGTCCAAAATACTATAATTATCTACCACTTCAAATAAAGAATAGTTTAAATTTAAAGCATTTTAGCAAAGCAACGATAATTTGGCTTTCTTCTCAGCAGGACATAAATTATATCAATAATATCCTGTTGTAATAACTTTCATTCTTTATTAAAACAGTTCTTGTTTTTGTCCATCAGATGCACAGTTCAGGCGGAATTCAATGTTTTATAACAGATGCTAGACCATAAATTACAACGTCATGTTAGCCGATAAGTTAGTTTAAGCAAACTGGTTACACTACTGGATCAAGTAGCCAGTTCTATTTCTCTACATCTCATGTATTGTTATATTGTGGTTTTTTGTGGGAAATAAACTTCATTATTCATTCATTATTCACTTCCCCTCCAAAAAGATTAATAATGTCAGAGGTGCAGAAAATTCACACAGATAAAAAATAGCTATCGTGTACGGCTTTTATGTAACAATAGTTTAATTTCTTACTATAAAATAGGTTCTGAAGGCAACCAATATAAGCGCTTATAATGAGAGGCCTGTTTCTACGTTGTCATGACATTACCCCACTTGGTATTTATTATTCATACCAAAGCTTTCGTAGCTTAGCTATTGTGGCTACGTCACGGGCGTTTCCACCTCTATTGGGGTTTCTTCGTTAAAAATACTGATTTAACTATATTTTGCACACCCGATGTATGGTTACATGTATATCGTAAGCAATAAATAAAGGGGTTACACGTCTGACTCTTTTATATTTAGGTTTTGAAATTGACGTAAATTGAAGTCAATGGACTATTTATAAAATCTGGACACGTTGGGAGGTAAACACAGGGACTTCAAATATGTAACTCTGTACGATGTTTTAAATGTAAAGAAAATGTATTTAAAATTGATAATGGGGACTTGTAATCAAGTCTCAAGATAACTTATCCCAATTTCTATAATTTTAAGTTCTTCTTTGCTTGGATCACCCAAAATATGTACATTATGTTAATTTCGACTTGTTCACTTCAATTAATTTCCACTGTATTCAACATTATTATTATTTTTGATTAGCTTCTTAAGGTTATTGTAGGCCTATTTTGTAGCAGCCAAATACACAACCCTTTTTGGCTAAAGGACTAGAAATCACATCATATAAAAATACTATGAATCATTGCAATAACTCTTTAGTCACAAGGATCTCCCATACTATTGACGTGTTCGTGTTGTGTCTCGTGTAGCGTGTTGTGAGCCGACGATGACGTTAAAGTGTCCACTCTGATTATCTTTAGCTACCTTATACTGTATTAGTACACGACTCTTAAGTCGAGAAGATTTTCCAGTGTTCGTGTTGTGGCGTCTGGCCTTTTGTTAGTGGGGCCTCTGGACCTAAAGGGCTTAGGTTCAAATCCCACCAATGGCTTAGAGGTTACGCTCGTTTTTACTTTCAATAACAAAATCTTGATTTTCTTCGGTTGGTTTGGCGTCTCTATGCGTCGAAACTGTTGCAAAATCCAAACCACCAAACCACGCCCAAGTAGTTACATTCTATCTTGTAATCTTTTTAAGTCGTTCCTCTGTTATATCCTCCATTCTTCATATATTGTATGGAAACTCCCACCAGCTTCACTGTTGTATAGTTTCTTCAGAACCAATAGAGCGCTGCCAGCGACAAGCTGATGATTCTCAAGATGTGCTCAAGTTTGTGCGCTTGGAGCACCACTTTGATGTCGACTTGGGCTGAATATCTCTCTGAATACCTAAATTGGTTCTACCTTTATCCAATGTTCAACTTATTTAAGTTTGAAGAAGTTATAGTCGTTGTCTAAAAAAAGAATTTGGAAAGCAATTTATTAATAATCGCCATTCACTATAGTTTCCAATATAAGTACCAAACTCATTACTCACATTTTCTTAAGAAAATCTATTCGAGTTCCCAAGACTTTGCTATAAGATGTTGTGTTTTATAATTTTTTTAAATTGTAGCCTACAAATAGAATTTCCATCCTATTGTAGAATCTAGACCATGTTTTATGTGTATTCTAGTTTGTTACGTTTTAGCTGTTGTCCGACGGTAGCCTATGTTTTCTATTATTTTAGAGTAGATTTTATGATTTTTGCTAAATTGTTTGATCGAAATCAGATGATGAGGACATGGTTATAATAGGATGGTTTAGTTTGGTTAAAACCTTTTATAATCCAAGTCCACTTACAGCATCCACATTCGATGTTATTTACGATATCCTATATAGACTTTTCCTATTATTTTTACACAAATTCAACAATAAGTCTGCAATTTAATCCGCCGTGTATTACCTATCCAGTTAGTCTGACATTTTCTCAAACCAAGTATTTTGGCCAACTTGTGAACGTAAACCAAGACCTGTTTACTCTATGGGCCGCCAAGCGCCGCGCCTGTTTCTCTATGGATAGTTCTCACCTTATAAGGTACATCCACTTTCTCTCGACCTACGTGCATCTACAATCTGCATTCTCATGTGTTATCCAGATTATTAGGTTTCCGACGGTTTCTGCATCACCTCTTGGGACGTATTGATGAGTTATTTGGAAAGGAAGTGGCCCAACCCCTTACTTTCGTCTGTGTTAACGTCGAACATACAACTTCAGAGTAAAATGTCTACATAGATTTTGCAGTAGTAACACATATTCCTTTCATACAACAGTTATCTCCAAAAACGTACTACGATTATTTTACACCTAATTCAATCATGATTTTATTCCACCGGCATGAATGCCAAAGTAAAAACACTTAAACATTTAATAATAAATTAAATACGACGTACACGAGTTGAGCTAAAAACGCGAAACATACACACGCATTTTAAACAGCAAAACACTTAGATCTTGGCAATAAAGAGCTTCACCCACAGTATTAATGGTCATGAGAAACTTAATTATAAAATAGTGATTATATTGTTATCATTATTAGAACATATTCTTGTAATAAAATAAAACTGCTATAATTAACTGATGACTAGCAACTACAACCATAAAAACCCAACATTAATAGAACTATTTGATAAGTATGTTATAGTGAAGAATGTCCCCCCCGCTTAAGAGAGTTTATCCTTTTTGTATCTTTTAAGTACTTAAGTAGTTTTTAAAACAATAATCTTACATTGGAGACAACGCCAGTGGAATTGTTCAGTACAAATCTGTCACTGGACGCAAGTTTTATGCGGGTATATTTAACATGGAAAATTAAACCTCTAGTGTCTGCTGCAACTCATTTTTCACACTGAAAGTTTTTTCTGTTCAAATAATATTTATTAGCAGAAAAAACTGTATCCATCTTGACGAAATGATACAGGACTCTCATGAAGTTGTTATTCGACGTTGAATTTCTAATGCATTATCCTTATGTTACATTTACTATAGGCCTAGAGTAACTACTGAGGTTTGTCTTAATTTAGTTTATTTTATTTTCGTTTTTACCGACAATTCTAACCTTTTCTCTTATGTTTTCAGGTACGTGCAGTGAAATTATTCAAAATCACGAGTAAGTGTATCTATAGTGCTAAATTTAGATCAGCATGTTTCTTTATGTAGCTATAATTAGAAAATATTCCTTTAAATTTGGTTTGCAAGCAGTACGCAGGATAGTTTTGATAATACTGTACGACGGTTTACTAAAACGCCTAGTTTAGTTGCATTAATGTAGGTAACCTTTTTCATTACTGTATTTTGTGTTACAGAATTATGAGTAGAAACTACTATAACATATATCCTGTGGTTGACTATCAACACGACGGACATACACATTCGTTTTGGCGTTTGAAGGTGCCAATATAGTCTGTTCGCAGTCATTGATGGAATCAAATTTCGCTTAACTTAAAGTCTAATTACTATAATATAAGTCCAAAATGTTCAGAATATTAAAATCTGCTATGATTTGAACCAAAAGTTTGATTTTCGCACACCCTTTGTTATTTGCCCTAATAGCTTTTATCTTAAACTCGTTTGCGTGTAATTCGTCTGTCTTTCGTTCCAACTACCGTCTACTCTTTAATTTTTAAATGTTTGTGTTACGTTACTAAAAATATTGTGGTATGTTAAGTGTTGCTTTAGTGGTTAGCGCCTCGGACTAGCGGGAGGGGCGCGTTCGAGTTCGATACCCGGTAGATTCACAAAACTTGTTGATTTGAATCTTACCCTAAAAGGAGTTGGTGAGCTTCGATAGCTCTTCTGGAAATAAATGTCTCCGTTGTAAACAGCAATAAAAAAGAAAAATACTTGTGATTTTCCCACCCAACTCTTGAGAGTGCGTGCGTGTGATCGTAGTCCCGGTGTGTACCTACCAGCATTACGGCATTGACAGTTCGCAAGACGACGCTATGCGAGTGGTCGCAGCGCAGAGGTGGTGTATTAACCCCTCCCCCACAACCCCCTACCACCCCCTGGCTGGTCGGTGTGATGAACGAGCCATGTCTGTGCCCGCCAGCCTTTCATTGTACAAGTAACACTTCCCCGGTATTATTGGCACTGGATTGTCTATGTACAGTGTGTCTACTGTGGACCACAATCACGTGATCAGACTAAAGAAATGTGGGCCAGACAGCCTTAGAAAGTCCAACACTTCCAATTACATTTTGTAACATGGTTTGGGACACAGAAGCTATAAATAACAATTTACAAAACTTTCAACACCAATTTTTGTCAGTTTCGTTCAATATAGTTTTCGAACCAACACCAACCTAAAAATGTTATTAGATGAACAGATTAAAGTGCAGTAAGAGAAAACGAGAATGAGACTTATCTTTATTAATTATTACTGAGTATCGTTGCAGAAAACCTGCTGGCTAAATGAATTTCTAATCTGAATTACTATTTTATTCAAAATAGTTCAGAATTAGAAAAATACACATCGACGATCAGTGCACTATGGTCTCGAGGAGTTGCGTTTGCTGCTATGAGTCCCGCAAATGTTCTCATTCTACAATTTTAAAATCCTGTCAAGTAGAAATCTGTCATATTTTATGAAAATTCTAATTTATAATCTTACAAATTCCACCATAAATAGTGTTAGATGAAAATGTGGTTTTCAAACAGGATGCTTTTAGTCGATATTTAATTCTAGGAGAAATCAAAACAAATAGGTGTAGTAGCTGTTCCTTCGTTGAGCCATCCCTTAAATCTCTCCTAACGTTAATTTTGTTGTCTAAATTTGCTCTCCACTCGTCAGAATTAGTCTAAGAACGTCTCGACAAAGCTACAAATTGTTCGTGAATCAGTTAACTCGAATGTTGTGATTCTGATGTTCCTCGGTTTTATAACAGGCGCGGCGCCAAGTAAAAATAACACGGGAAGCAGGCGCGCCGTGTTTTATTTTTGATTGTAGCCTTTTTGCCAAACAGATCAATATTAACTTAAGACTAAAGTGTTTTTGGATTCTTAAATAATCATACTGAGGTCAAACGTACGAAAAATCTTCCGAAACATTTTTCATCATGCAACGAAGGCTGTTTTAAATGCACGCGTTGTTGTGTTGATTGTATTTTTTCGCATGAATAAATTTGTCTAACATCTCAACTTCAGTTGTTTTAATTATTGTATTGCGAACATATTTCAATAGGTCAGGAGTACAGGAGTAATACCTGTTACTTATAACTTTCTTCAAAACAGACCAAACAGTTTAGTACCTCCGTATAGCCGTTCGTTAACAGCCGGACAGGATGGCCACATTTCGGAAGCATTTAAAACGTGTTTTGGACTAGTAAATTTGTAGTGTTTTGTACCTGTGTTCCAAATTCATTGATAATGACTATATTTTCAGCGAAGCATTGTGATGCTCTGTAGTGTATAGTGTAGATCACATGCAATCATATTCTCCCTTAGTTTATTCTGAGATACTTTACATGACATGAAGGATGATTTAGTTTATAATAAGGTTGCCATTTCGTTTGATTTGGTTTGGTTAAAAAGTTGATGTATTCGACAGAAATCGATGGTTCAGTTCTATAACTACTAAGTTAGTGCACATGTTGCTTGAATTCTAGAAATTACAAAGTATTACAGGCGTTATTTCAAAACGAATAAGTTAACAGTCATAATTTCGAATGACAAGTGTCAACTCAAAGATAATGTAATTAATCACTCCACTCAACTCACTATGAAAACGAACGCTCTTGTGTATCATGTGCTTAAACTATGAACAGCTGTTTTAGTATGCATTTGATACAAATTATTCTTCTGTTTAAGTAAACAAAATATTTCCTTCATAAGAAATACATTGGGATTTTAATAGCCTATGGGGCAAAGCCCAAGGACTTTTATTACGGGAATTGGTGAAAGGGGGTGTCTACACAAAAAAATACTTATATTTTGACACATATTTGGTAAAATCCCGCATTTATGTTTAGTTCTATTATTTCAAATCGTCCGAAGATTATAATACAGGGTGATTGGTAGTCAGTGTGACACAAATCTTTTGGTGTAAGTAAATGAAGTGTGATGATGCATATAAGAGGTTCCAAGTCTAAACATTTGCTTCTCAAAGAATTCTTTTAAGTTTTTTTTTTTAATTAACCATGTTTTTAAACTTAATAGAGCAATTTCTCAATTACCTGTCAATGGATATGAGTAGATGATTTCATTTTCGTGATCTACATTAAATTTTGAATAAAAATTATATAAAATGATGAAGGATCAATAGTAAAAACTCCATTATGAATTGATCCAAAGATAAAAATATATGTATTTACAAAGCTTAAACCCCATGTAACTTTACGTGTTACCTTGTTCCATTTCAAAAAGTTCAAAAGTAAACAACCTTGTATAAAGATGAATATCGTTAAAGTCGATTAAAATATCCAACTTGTCGAAAGTTTGAGCATTTCGCCTCTGACATGCCTGGCTCGTATCTCGCAGTTATGTCGAGTCAGACAAATAAATGATAATGGATGTAGATAAGACTCCGTGACGTCAACTGTCAACGTCCTACAGGCTGAAGGAATATTACAAAATTCCTGTGTCATTTGACGTAGATTCAGTCGATAAACATGCGTTGAACTTCAAATATGTCTGCAAGTTGTTATGCAACTGTTTTTGAGACCGAGACTGTTATGTAGGTCTGGTTTCTGATCTCGTCAATAACTTGTGGCTTTTTTCAAAGTGATTAACTATCTAGTGATTCGGGGTCCACGAAAGCTGCTGGTCTACAACGGACTTAGTAGTTTAGGCCAGAACTGTCACTTCATTGGAATGATTCAGCTAAGTTAAAAAACATCATAAGTCATTTTACATTTCAAACATCATTTGGACTTTCAATCGAGTTGTTGTGTTGAACTTGTGATATTTACTTTGGATGATGATTGTGTTATAGTCCCGCCAATGGCCAATGTAATCTTACTGTGTAATGAGCTCGATGTAAAGATGCCTTCCCTATGAAAAATATACATATACCCTAGCTTTAAATTATTTACTTCATAGGCCCTTCTTTATCTTATTTTCTATCAGTTGGCACCTTATAACAATAATCTGTAGCAAGTTGGCTCCAAGTAAAAACTGGAAGAGTAAAACTGTAATCATTTGTGAAATTGTTTCCATAATTAATTTGCTATAAAAATATATTTTTTAAATTACTTGTGATGTTTTTAGTTCACGAGAAGTACTGTTTGTATTTTTGGGGTGTGTAACTTGGGGTTTTAAGTTAATTTCTGGAGGTTCGCTAGGGTAGGTTTGGAGTAGGGGAAACTGTTCAGCTCATTTAGTTAGCGGATGTTGAATATGAAAAACATCAATTACCAACATTGTAAGGTGGATTATAAACTAATTATAAACTATTATACCTTGAATCTGTGTGAAATAGTGTCCTTTAAAAAAATGCAACCTACTTCGGTCCACGTTTTTTGTCCTGAATGCGTTAATGTAGGCCTATCATAGAACGCATGAATATTTTGTGACTATATGGCTGTCTAAAATGGTTTGCGCTCTCCTGGAGCTTTTCTAAAACACATATTTTTTATTAGTGTCGGTTAATAAATGTGTAATTTTTTCTGAAAAATTTCGCTTTTTCTATAGGTTAATTTCTCTGCAAATTTGTAAAGATTTACTACTGCAGTTGGGAGTGAATTACCATACGAGTATACTATATTTTCTATTTATTTGAATATCTATACTTATTTAATACGCAAGCAGATTTTTTGTGACAATTACTCCTCCGAAACTACTGAACCGATTGTCATGTTTTTGGTGTCATTGGAAAGAGCGTAACGTGAAGTTGTGCAGGAAACTTTCTGTTTAGGGAAATAATGAGAGAGTGAGGCCATGGAGCCCTTTAAAGTTTCGTATTCCTCCATAAGATTAACATTGGAAACAAAAATTGTTATGAAACTCCAGCTGTTGTCAGAAATCAAAAGTGAGAAGAAGAGCATATGTTAATTGTAAACAGTCAATAAGTTTGCTAATTTAACAGTTTGCTGCAAACTTGCTGACTTGGTTGAAATTAGTTTTAAAATAAAGCCTGTAATACTCAGCAATTGCTCGATTTCGAGCAACAGGGACACTAGTTTATAATAGTTACATCACATATTGTTAAGCCAAGGTTAATTCCCAGTCTGAGACGAGACTTGGAACCGCTTTCAAAGGAATTCTGTTCATCACAAGGATTCCGGGATTCACCTGTTTTATAAAGTGCATTCTTCGCAGTCCGTTTGTCGCCAATGAGTAAAATAGAACAGTAACTTGAGTTTGTTACATTAATCAAGTTGGTTAATTTTAATCAGCTGTTTTATGGGTTTTAAGGGAAGTAGCTATTATTATTGACAAAAGATACATTTAGGGGAAGAAGGAATTACATTCTCGTGTTCGAATTGCATCTGGGTTTAGACAATAAATACAGATTGCAACAGACATGCGGGAATT